ACAAAGACATGAGTATTTAGTGGTTAAATCAACTACCGAAGATGCATTTTGAGAAAAAAAAAAGATGCAATCCGATTGAATTTTACATGGATGGCACAAGTTTACGCAAAGACATATCTACATGGGGTCACACTGTTTCACTTTGTTCAACTTATCCTGTGGTAAATCATTTCTATGAATCAGTTTTGTACCTGTACAGAGCTGAGAGGACATTGGGAAGTGATTGAAGGCTAATAGCACAAAGAACTGTAGTATCTGTTGCTGGCTTCAGTTAGGGGCTGACCTAATCCAAAACACACGCATATGCACACTGCCAGCTGTTGCATATGCACGTGTTTGCATCCGTTGCTATATACGGCATTACATTGGAGCTAACATCTGTTCAGCTCGTAAAATGGACAAACTGTCACATTTGTTAAGATGCTTTTTAAAAAAAAATAAACCAACGTCTGAGGCTTAAATATGGAGCTGATGCTAAAAAACTGCAGTTCCTTCAATAGCCACTTGAGGGTGAATCCAAATGTGAGTAAATCCCCACAGACTTCCATGATAAAAGGCTTAATTACACAGCAGAAATAAACAGTATTTTCAAGCTGGTGAAAAATGGTTTAGGTTCGTATAGCTAATTTCTCCCATTCATGACACCTGTACAGGCAGTAAATGTTCATATAACTAACCTGGTTAAAATATATTACGGCAAAATGCTATGCATAATGAATGGTGTGGCTGCTTTGGGTGGGTGTTGTCACAGGACAGTTCATGGCCTAGAAATGTTTGCATGACCCGCCTCACCTCCACTCACGCTTACATCTTTGATCATTTTTCACAGGTAACCTATGGGTGATGTCAGCGAAGGTTTGCCCATCTGTCTTTACTGTACACATTTTTAATTAACTTTTTTTGTTGTTGTTTTTTACGGAAGCCGAGAGCGGTCATGGCCGCACATTTTTTTAAACGGCATTTTCTCGGGGAAACGGTGTTCAGTTTCTCGAGATAACGAGATAATTATCCCGTTGACAGTTTCGGCTGTCACTTCAGCCTTCATCAGAAGTTGTCGGACTTCCTGGTGTGACGTATCTTATATAGACAGCTGACCGGGAACTCCGACATGACGTGTCATGAGAACAGCTGACCGGGCACGACAACTTACAATGAAGCGCTCGTGCCCGGTCTCGTCTGTCCTCCAGCCCCCCGCTGGTGACAAGCGGGCAAACACAAACACCAATTATCTTGTTTTCACGAGATAACGAGAAAATTAACTCATTATCTCAAGAAAATGGCGAAGAAAGAACAGTAGCGGAAAACGACCGTTCTCGGCTTCCGTAGTTTTTGTTTAACAGAAAGTATATAGAAAGTTGCATAGAAAGTGCAATATGGAAAGTGATCCAGTGTTTTTGCAGCTCTTTACCAATGTTAGTTGCCAAAAGTCAGGATGTCTTAGCCTCTGTTGCACCAAATTTGAACATGTTTTTAAAAGGTGTCCATTCAACAGCAAAACTTTTCAAAGTGGAATTCTAGCTGTCTCTTTAATTACACACATTTAGACTAATAATCCCTCCAGGACATTATGTAAAGAAAGACAAGACAATTACAGCTATTACATAAATAAATTAAGCTGGTTATCTTTGGGATTTTAATTGGTGTGAGAGGAAAACATTCTCAGCTAAATAACATCCAGTTACAACGTGGTTCCTCGCGTAACACAACCCAACCTGGAGATGACAGCTCACACTGAGAGGAGAAGAAAAGATTTGCAGGGGGAACGGGAAGAAGAAGAATGGGAGATGGTGGGTGTATGTGTGTTATGTGTGTGTTGCCGGGGGGATCGGGTGTCAGTCACTTGTGAGGAGGGATCGCTCGCTCCATCTGGATGCACCCATAATGCCCCGGAGTGCATGTTCTCCCTGACCAGAGGTTTGGCGCGTGGACGACACGGTCGCAGCAGACACATGCTGATAACCTCCTCACAGAGACGTGACCCATTTCTGTGACTTACAACCAAAGCGTCATGGAGGATGAGAAAGTAGAGAAAAAAAATGTAGAATTACAGTTACAGCGTTGGACAGCTGAGAGAGTGTGTGTGTGTGTGTGTGTGTGTGAAGGTCAAATGCTTGCATGGTCACAGGGAACTGCGTGTGAGAGATGAAGCAGCGTAAAAAAAGGGGAGTGTGAGTAGGACACGGCAACACATGAGAGAGAGCACTGCAGCAAAAAAACATCCACTCTGGAGAACAAGCCGCCTTTGCTTCAAGACAACTTGACGACACTCACCGTGTGAAGGTGGGCAGAGGTAGAGAGGCAGCTTCACCCCTCACAGGGGAAGAGATCAGGACTGGGGAGGGGGGGCTTCCCAGCCGAGCCGCAGCAAAATGCCAAAACAGCCTGATGACTCCTCCACCCGCACGCACACACACATAAACATGCGCGCACACACACACACACACACACACACACACAACACACACACCAGTCACCCCTTCTCCCCCTCCAACCTCAGCATGCAAATGACCTCGCTGAGGGAAACCAAACAAGCACGACGTCCCACGAGGGAAACCAGCATCCCCACTTTTTTTTTTTTTTTTTTTCTACTCCTTACTCCTCATCACCGGATCGGTCGGTCCAGCATCACTGCACACACAAACACATCGCGCTCAGGCGGATCTGTCATAGTGAAGACGCTCGAATCTGGCAGCGGAAAAGCTGTCAAAGATCCTCAGTGAAGGAAAAAACACACACAAGCATGAGCAGGATGTTTACAGTGTGAGAGAGAGACAGAGCGAGAGGGAGAGAGAGAGAGAGGGAGAGAGAGAGGAGAGAGGAGGTGCGTGCCACTCATCGGCATTCTTAATCAGGCTTCCCTGCCAGCCAATCACAGATCAAACTGCTCTGACAGCGGCCAATCAGAAACAAGGGCTGGCTGTGTCAGAGCTGCTGCAGCCCAAAACAATGACACTTGGCGCTGATGACAGTGTCAGTGTGTACCTCCGATGGAGACTCAAGGGCACACACACACACACACACACACACACTTACGAGTTAATATTAAAGGGCAGGTTCACATTTTTTTTTTACAATCTATCATGGCTTACTGTAGTGATTTGATTTCAATGTAATATTATTTTTTGGCTTTTATACTTGTGTGTGATATATGAAAAAATTCAAATTTGAGTTTTCCAAATAAAGCAAGTGTTTATTTGTATGTGGTTAAAGAAAGTAGCAAAGTCATAGACTATTGATTAAACAATTAAAACGGGTTTGTGCTCATCACTGTACCCCTGAACCCCAAGCGATGTCTGGGAGTCACATTTTCACTCACCATGGGCTCATTTTTAATTGCAATATAAAGTCTTGCATCTCTATGGAAACAGCACAACCATGGGTAGAAGTAGAGGGAATTTAGAAATGTGTTGTGAATGCCATGTGTGCAGTAAAGTTATAATGCCATGAAGTTGAGTTGATCCATCCATGATCTATATACCACTTAAAAAAACAACAACAACAGCACCTGGAGCCAGTATCTTTCAAAGCACCCATAGTTGGTACCAACACTGGAGAAAATAGTTGCTCTACATTCTACAGATATGTTGCTACTTACTTATTTTAATTTGTTTATCTACTTGTCTCCTATCTTTACTTTGCAAACAGAGCCTGCAGTTCAACCAAAAAGTCCTTGCATTTTTGGCTTGTGACTGTTTGTAACGTCTGGTTTCACTGTTGTGACAAAGAGCACAGAATTTTTATGTATTTATTTATTTATTTAACATAATCTGGTGCAAAAGGTTTGTTTTTGTCAAATGTAATGGTTTAGAATAGAATAGAATAGAATAGAATAGAATAGAATAGAACTTTATTGATCCCCTTGGTGGAAACCTCAGAAATGTATCTCTGTCTATCAAAGTAATGTAATGTATTTAAAGTAGTTCTTTTTTCAATAAAAATGATCCCTTCCTGCTTTAAAATGGTTTGGATGTAACGTTATGACTCCTTCCTTTAGAACGTAAAGCTCTACTCACAGCAGCTTAAGCACACCAGCTCACCCCCGACTCTGCTCAAACACTGTAAGACTACTCAGTGCTACACAACTGCAAGTTGTAATATTGACTTATTTAAGCCTCACGTGTTTGACTAAAACCTGATTCTGAAAGAGAATAGTGACAGAACGCTCCATCTTGAGAGTTGACCAGACGGGCTGCTTAGGTTTGATAAAGATGAAACCCTGGAAGTCTGAATCTGTTTTTCTGAGACTGTTACAAATAGACTGCAGATTTCAGGTGCAAATGCTCAGCTATGGCAATGACTGCTTATTTAGCTCATAATACACAATATGGGCACGTTAACAAGACAAAAACCTGAGTTCCAGCTGTCTAAGCACAAAGAGAATGCACAAGGATGATTGTTTTTGCAGCGGCCAGCAAAGGAAAACAGATGAAAGGCCCATCAAGCTGACTCCCCTTTGAATCGCCATCAGCTCAGAACTGGCAGAAACCAGTGTGGCCCTGGTCAGAGGCCAAGCAACTCACCTATGCACGAAGAGCAGGAGGTTCAGAAAAATGTTAGCAGGCGCTCTGCACTGATGTGTCAAAATATCTGAAGTATTTGTTTCTAACCAAGGGCAGTTTGATTGCTGAAGGCCTGTAGAGAACACTAAGCATGGTGGAGGTCTTTGTTTCTGCAAATGAAGCTTGGGGATTTGGTCTGAGCCTCGTCAATGCTGAGAAATACAGGAAGAATTTCACACATCATACAGTCCCATGCCCCCAAATCTTTCAGAATCATGACCATGACCCCAATAAAGAGCCATTTTCAGCCACAAGACAACCAAGGAGTCCTAACATGGCCCCCAGAGAGCCCTCATCTCAACATCATGGAGTCAGTGTGGTGTTACCAGAAGACTCAGAACACAATATTATAGATTCCAGCTTAGCCACAGAACAGCATATTCACCGCCATTAGCTGATGGCTCATAATTTTAAACATGTACTGAACAGGACGTTACATACTTGTGCTGCTGTCGCACAGCGTCTCCTGACTGGCGCTGCAGGTGGGCAGCGGGGTGATGGACAGCGACGCTGGGCAGGACACCGGCTCCAGATGCTCGCTGGTGGGCGGGACGGCGGAGGCCTCGGAGTGAACACAGTCTGGACTGGGGAGGTTCTGGCCGTTCGTTGAGGAAGGACTCTTCCAGTGTGAGAACCCGATGGCCACCTGACCCCCGAGGTCAAACCCTGCCAGACAACAGGCAGACAATGAGAATATAAATAATAGTATCTGTCACAATGATGGCACTAAGAAAGCTTCTTCCTATCACTGGGGCGATTGCTGCATCTACTATCAGGACCTTTGACGTCTGGATTGGCTTTTTGTGATGCTGATGGATAAATGAACCTCAGCAGCCTGAAGTATCTGCTCAGCAATGTTGCCCTCTAGTGGAGGAGACTGTCAACATCATTCCCTGCATTTTACTGGGTCTTGCAGTCACAAATGCGTTCATGAAGAATAGGAGGCGCTTATGTTCCTACAACTACAACTCCTAAACATACAGCAGCACAGATACAAAAATGTCAATCACAAACACAAGAAAATGGCTCAAGTACCAATAAAATTATGCTTTCTATTTGATCTGACATGATTCATCAATAATTGCACCTTCTCCGTTGGAGGTTTAGTAATGAGAAAGGCAATGAGGATTTTCAGCTTCCCACTGTCAGTCACAGTTTTTGCTGCTTTCTCTCCTTAACAAGGGCCAGCAGACTGCTGAACCAGCTGGGCTCGCCTCCGGCCTTCGATTTCTCCCCAGCAGGCTTCCCTCTCAGTTTCACGAAGCCTCTGAGACTGGTGACCCGCCTCAGCTCCGCTCTGGGCTGGCAGGTGTCTCTGCTCACTGCTGGACTGGTCCAAAAGAGCTGCCAATTCTTTGCTCTTCTTTACATATTGAATTTCCCTTCTGGGATAAATGAAGTATTTTTCATTTCATTCATATGGGGGTAAATTGATGGGAATTTTTCATCTCCTACTCACGACAGTGTTTGCTTTTAATTTTTATCTCTGACGACATTCAGTACAATAACACTGTGAACCAGTCTTCTCTGTTTATCTAAGCACTGTTCAGACATTCTGTCCATTAGTAAGCAAACTACATGTGGAAATGGCATCTTGACCCAAGGACATTCTGAGCACAAGACCCTCCTACTGCTAACATACTGACACAGACCTTTAGATGTTGCTTAGAGCAGTGGGAAATGTCCAGTAGGTGTAACCTGTGCCAGGAGCTGCTCCGGTACACATTGCTGGGGGAACCATTAAAAGCTGAAACATTCTGATGTGAACAAAATGTGAAAAGAAAATCCATTCACCTTTGTTTCCCGTTGATGTAGAAGCAGGCATAGCTTTGCTTTCATATCCCATAACTTTACTCAATCACACTGATGTTATCATTGTCATTTGCAAAAATAACAATCAACAAAAAAAAATGCCCCAAAACTAAAGAAAACTCTGATAATTAAAACTGCGCAAAATCAAATTACAAATAAAGAAAAGTTAGCTGCTAGCTAGTGAATGTAGTGGTGCATTTAGCAGAGTGACATAATGCCTGTGGAGACCAAAACTGAGGTAAAAGGATAATTTTTATTGGATTATATTTACCAGGTGGTCAAATTTATTTTCTTTATTTATGAATGTCTGCAGAATGTACAAACAGAAAGCTGCAAGGAAATAATATGTGAGTGTCCTGGCCCAAAAAATCTGTCTCCAAGCTTCATCTAATTTTAAATTGAGTTATTTTATAGATCTTTCACTGTTATTCAGTCTGACATTTATCGTCCAGTATCTCCAGAAACTTTAAGATCTTCTGTGCAAATTAAAATTAAGTGCAGTGATTTTGTTCCCGTATACACTATGTGTGGTTGATGGGATTAAAACTGCCAGTTTTTGATTACATGAATCCAGATAAGGCTCAATTACCCAAACGTACAGAACAGTGGGCTGTGATTTTTATATTTCTGCTGATTTCTGGCACATCGATGTTATGCAACACACCGGGGAGCAGGTGGGACTAGGGAACACTCCCCCCGCCCCCCCAACACAACCATCACCACCTCCTTGTTTCCTGTGAAACACAAAGCAAAGCAGATTTCGAAGGTACATCAGCAATGAACAAACACAGGCCGATCAATAGCAGAGAAGTGGAACGCCTGGCAGTCTCTGAGGCTCCCTGCTCGCTCCTCACACAGCACATTCAGCTGGAGGATAAATTCTGAGGAGGAGGGACGGGATAAATCTGTGCGCTACTCTACATCTCATCTCAGCTGTTTTATAGCCTCTAACTCTCTGAGAGAATAAAGGGGTTTTCACGCGACGGAGTGCGACCGAGTTAGGCCGGGCGTCCCCAAAATAATGTTTATGCTCAAGTCAGCATTTGCAACAACTAGAGCAGTGAGAAGGTCTTTATTTTCCCTGAGGGGAATTTGGCAGGTACAATACCTTCTGGCCAGAAAAAATCTAACAGGCCCCTAGAAAATTATAGGAGGGAATTTCTTGACTTGGTTCAGCTTAAAAACAATCAAGGAATGCAGCAAATTCTTCAACATTTACAGCAGGGGTGCCCAATCCTGGTCCTCGAGAGCCCCTATCCAGCATGTTTTAGATGTTTCCTTCTTCCAACACACATGATCAGGATGGTTATCAGGCTTCTGCAGAGCTTGATGATGAGCTGATCATTTGAATCAGGTGTGTTGGAAGAGGGAAACATGCTGGATAGGGGCTCTCGAGGACCAGAATTGGGCACCCCTGAGTTACAGTGTAATTTAGTTTGTAAGGATCCAGTACCAATACAATACTGACTGGTTGCTACTGGATTTAGATGTACAGTTAAAGAAAACAAGTCCATGGGGAATCAGAGGAAATCCTTTTTTTTTAGTTTTGTGCAAACTGCAGAGGAAAATATCTACTCTTCACATCACAAAACACACACAACATTAAAACACACGCTGGCGTTTCGCTCATCGACAAACATTACTGCGACGTGCAAAGCTGCACAAACCCTTCAGGCCTTTATTGTCACGGCTCCTGTTTCATCGTATGAGTTGGAACAAGGATAAGTCGAGACACAAAACAATTCGTCATGGAATATCACTGACCTCTCCAAAAAGGTGATGGAATTGTTGGATAAAATTTACTGCAGTCTCAAATGCTTAGCCGTATCAGTTACTGTTGTGCAGTGAGAGGTAACGCAACTCCATCAGATACACACAGACTGCAGAGTGCACCGAGCAGGGCAGCAGAACCATCCTAAGGTGTTGGTTTGGAGAAGAAGTGAGTGACTTGCACTTAACATGCTATCTACGTCACCCAGTTTGAATGCTGTCAGTCATTCAATAAGCCTTTTAATCAAACATCGTAAAATACATGTGGATCAGTGGGGACGTCTTTCAGTCGACTATCACTCCATTTCTTGGTGCTCCGTTATCTGTGTTTGATGTTGGCGTAAACCCGCTGACTTTCAGGCAACTTCGACTTCTGTTTCCAATCACTGTTCTATGTTGGTTTTCAGTCGGTGTTTGGTCCAAACTATTTGGTTAGGTTTAGAAAAGGAGCAAAACTTGGGTTAAAAAACACCCTCTGACAACTTCACCACAGATTTTGAACACATTTATTCACTCAGCAGCAAGATAACGATGCACCTTCATGCATGCTAGAAGGCAGAGCAGGTTCCTGCTGACTCATATGATTGATGTGTGATGATTAAGTCCATTTAATGCGCTGACTTTTGAATTGGGTGTGTAGGTGTGTGCTGTAGCTCTATAATGTTGTTAGCAATATTCTCATTGCAGTTGTTAATATGCAGCTGTTCTAGTTTTCTAAATAAGACAACATCCCAAAGCAGATCATTGGCAGCAAGAAGAGACTACTTCAGCAGGATGATGGACACATGCCTAAAAATCCTCCAGCTCTTATTTCTTTCTTGACAAAATGAACCTAGCGACACTTTGTGCCATCGAACAACACTGACCAATCAGGACACAGGATCTCTGACGGTGTCCTGTCAGGCTTTGGCAGGGGATGATTTTAGTTTGGGGGGATAAGGGGTGGGATCTCTGTGGATCAGACCTCCCATGGATGTCCAATCAGATTGGCATCTGGGGTTTTTGCAGAGGGATCCGTGCTTTGGGCTCTTCGTCGTGTTCCTTGAGCTTTTTGTGAGCAGCTTTTGCAGTGCTGAGGAAGGCGGATGCCATACAGGGTTGTACTCTGACTACAGTATTGTATGAGCGGGTGGTACATGTGAAAGTAACATCCACAAAAATGTCAGGACCAAACACTTCCCAGCATAACACAGCACTTTAACAAGATGACCAACTTTGTACACGACACCTTGAAGTGGTTTGAATGCTGGGGTTGAATATGTATCAGAGAACTTCAGATCAGATTTCAGATCAGTAATTAGTTTTTAGACATCAAGTCACATGAAGGTAGTTTACACTTTAACTTTTAAGAAACTATGAAAAAAAAGAAGTGTTGGCGACGCGTTTACTGGCACTTCTACAATGATGGTACTGAAGTTCAGAAGGTAATTAAATGACATGATAAAATTGTTTTACGCTAGCTTTTATGCTAGCTGAATTAGGCTTTTGCTTTTTAAAAACTAACAGCTGCTTTGAGCCGCCGATCCTCAATATCCAATAAAAGTCACCTGAAATCGCGGGAGGGGCGGAGGTGGGACTGTAATCTACACCTGGCATGTATCCGAATGACCTCCAAAACTCACAATCCGCGGACATAGTGTGTTCTAAGCAATATCTATGTCGCAGTCATCAGAAAAAAAGTGCCCTCGTGGCTCTCTGAGGAGAGCGAGGCCCAGATACGTAGCCCCTCCACTTCCTGACACCTTCAGAGGTAAGACAACAAATGCAGGTGCAGGTATCTGGGCCACACGCTGCACTGTGCAATAACAAGTTTGAGCTGAGTGTCTCCAGAAGACTGCCGGTGGAAGTCCTTTAGATGGACCGAGAGTTTGAGCGCTAAATGTGCTTCGGTCAGCTGACGGAGAGGATGCAGCAGTGGAGCAGGAGCAACGAAACACAAACAGTAAAATATGATGCTGAGGGTTGAACGGTATCTAAAAGATGCCATCTGTAACATATTACGATAAAGACTGAGCCACGTAAGTGTGGAGACACAGTGATGTGTAGTAGCAATAAAACCTAAACCAGACTACAGGGCTGCTGCT